CAATAGATTAAACTAACTTATCACTGTTGACTTCCACTCACTTAAATTCACAAAACAAATTCAAAGAAAAACATAATATAAATAGAAAACATTATTCAAATAATTCAAATTAAGTTCCCATAAGCTAAGTCATAATAATTTCAAACTTGCTTATCAGTTAAAAACAAAAGTGTATATAAACTACTAAAAACAAAACAATACTAATGTTCCAAACCTGAAGCTGATTGAATCATTGCATTAGAAATCAATCCCTTAAAATATTTGGGACCCTGTAGGAAATAAAAAAGGTGAAATGTGCTGATTTTATATGTGAATCTAGCACAAGCTAAAAAATCCTCCTTGGGTTTATTTTTCTGATATGCACACACGAATAATTTCTCAACTAAACTCACAGTTCAGAACCAACTAAACTAAAAATATTTTGGTAGAAACCCAGAGAAACGTATTGAATAGAAGATGTGAATAGTTTACGGCGAAGAACCCCACATAATTTCAGCGCTAACCGTCGCAAACTCTGCTTCACTCTGCGAAACTTCCTTCACAATATTCAGTATTTCTGATTTAACCTCTCTCTTCTCTTGGGAGTTTAACCCCTCGCTCACTTCCACTTGAATCGCAAACCTAGAAACGCAATTCCCAAACGCCAAATCACACTCACACTCACTACACCCCTCTCTTTGCAAGTCCATTAGAATTTCAATCACTCCCTCTTTCACCATCGCTTCCACCACTTCCATTCTCCCTATATATCCCAATTCCAAAACGCACTCCAACGCTGCAACGCGAAGCCCTAATTCCCTCGAACGCAGAAACCCTATGATTTTAGGGATCTCACCGCTGCACAGAATCTCATCAACCAGGGGGCTTCGTATGAAATTAATCAGCGACGACAGAACGCCAATGGAGCACGCGGAACCCATCGCTATCAAGGCCTTGATGGTGGGGCCCATCAGCACCAGCCCTACGAACACGTTCTTGTTGAACTTCACCAGCGCTGCTATGGTCATCGCCGCTTCCTCTTTCACGCTCTTCGAACTCGAATTCGACTTCTCGAACAGCACGCACTCCAAGAGCGTGAACACCTTCGCGCGCAGAACCAGGTCCTGGAACTCCAAATCGAAGCCCTGGGACAGCCTCTCGCGGAACTCGACGAGAGCCTTGACCTGGTGCTGTTCTTCGTCGTGCCGCGACGGCGGCTCCTGCAGCGCGTCGACGAGATCGCGAACGGCGACTCGGTCGATGTACTTTTGGATTTCGTATTGGATGGCGCTGGCGAGGTGGGATATCTTGCATTTGGTAAAGTGGCGTTGGAGGAGGGATCGTGGGAAGTAGCCGCTGTGCTTCTGGTGTTTATCAATTAACGATGGGAGAGAGGAGAGCATGCGAGAGAGGTTACGGAGGTTAGGGTCGGAGGACAAGACGGCGTGGGCCTTGGCTTCGAGGTCGAGGAGCGTGTCAATGGCGGCGCTGGAATCTGTTGGGGAGAGGAAGGAGAAATGGTTGGTGTTGGTGTGAAGGGCTTTGGAAGCTTCTTTGAGAGCGTTTAGGAGAGTTAGGAGGCGGTGTTTGGGAGGGTCATCCATGAGAGACAGAGAAGAACCGAAGGAAATTCAGTTTATTTGATTTGTGTGCTTTGGAGTGTGGAAGGAAGTAGAAGAGTGGAGAAAGGAAGGGAAAGGAGAAAAAACAGAAATTGGAAAAGACAAGAATGGAAGATCAGATGCTGACTGATGGCAACTATCAGTCCAAATCATCAAAACAAACCAGCAACCATTCTTAGGTATGATTTTAGTATTTCTGTATTCCTTTTATCTCCATTTAAATTTTGTTTGTTTTTGCATTTTTACATTATGTGTTTAATGTCTGTTAATGTATATATTTTTCAATAGATCTTTTAATTTCCACGGGTTCTTACAAATTTTACAAAATATATATTAAACATTAAAAAGTAATAAACAGTAAAATTGTGCTAAGTAAAAAATTGTGTATTATATCTAGTGTATTATAAATATAATTATACTGATGAATATGTATAGGAAGCATTTGTAGGAGTAACAGAACAAAAATTATTAAGTTTTGCAAGTTTTTATTTGCTAATAGTCAGTGAGGTGTATTCTAGTTTATCTAAGATTAACTAACGTGAATTCTTTAAGCATTGTAATGATTAATCAAATCAAGAAAAGGTGAAACGAAGATAAAGGATGGTGGTGAGTACAAAATACAAACCATTTATTAGGTAAAAATAATAAAGAAACAGGATAGAAATGGGTATTCCAATATTTCATCTTAAAAATAAAAAATGCAGTTAACTCTACTAAATACGCCACCACAAAAGAAAATATATGGATCTAATCAGGGAGGAAAACAGGTATTTATCATGTCAACACAATGGTAGCATAAAGATGAAAAACAAAAGTTACAAGTAAATAGGTATCATCAACACAATTTAATTATCATACAAAAGATTATATTAAAGACTCTGTCAATTGTCAAAATCTCATTTTAATACTAGATCTTTTTTTATTGTGTTAAGAGATTAAATTTAAAACTTTAAGCACATATTTATATATATCAATATTATATATTTTAAAATAGTTTTATTTTTAATAATTTATTATTTACTGGGTATTTATTTTAGTGAGTATGACTTCATGTGCAGGATTTACGTGAGAAGGATCCGCATATATACATCCATGTACATACAGATATGTATGGGAAAATATTGTTCACTTTGTGAAGAAAGTAGAAAAATGACCTTACTTTAATTGTTGAATATGTTCTTTGTTTGTGAGTGCATCCTATATTTACATTTACTCTGTATTATGTTTTTGATGTGTCATCTAAATGTGTTGTGTTTTTATTTAAGTGTAATTAAATATTTATTATATTTGTAATTACATATTATTAATTTTATCTTTTCAATTTTAACTTTATTTTAATTAGAAATATAAATTTAAATTTAAATTTAATTTTTATATTATTTCCACTATTTACATTTAAAATTATATTCTATTTATTTTCGAAGATAAAATACTAATAATCTATTTTTATCTATTAAAACATTTTTTTAATTTATTATAAATCACATTATATATAAAATTTTCTCAAATCATATCATATATTTCGTAATCCAAACAATAACAGAGCTATCTTTTTGTTTCCTCATAACAGAGCTATCTTTCTGTTCCCTCATAACAGAGCTATATTTCTGTTCCCTCATAACAGAGCTATCTTTCAGTTCCCTCACATCCGTATAGTTACTTTTTCTCAAATCTACTCCCAAATCCAAATCCAAGCACACCCTTCGTATTATCAGTATGTTTCTACAAATTAGAATATAGGTTTTGTTTATGTAGGGATTAAGTGAAAAGGGAAAATAATTATAATTAAAACACTTTAAAATAAGTATAGTATTTAAAGCACTTATTAAAAATTTAAAATATTGAATAAAATTAAAATATTTTACAATTTATTTTTATTTAATACAACTTTTAAGAATAATAATTAGTTTTAAAAAATTAATTACTACTATTAGTTTTAAAAAATTAATTACTCTCCATATCTAAATCTACAATAACAATCATAATATTTCTATTTTTGGAATAATAATTTCTCAAGACTTCCTGCATGGTTAAAAAGGTTTTCTAATTTTGAAAATAAATATATTAACTATATTATATATGAGTTCTTTGATTTCCTTTGACAGAAAATAATAAAAATAAAGATAAATTAAACAGTAGATAATTGCTCCCTTTCTCCAAAAATAGAAACAGTGACACTAAATAACCTTCCAAAACACTATAAGAAAATCAAGGTTCTTTCAAAAGAGATAAATTATAAAATAGATAGAATGGTGATTTTCATCCTTCAAAATTTTTGAAAATAATTTTCATTGTTGTCGTATTATCCTGTGTTTTTTTACTTCAGATGAAATTCACAGTAGTATAT